TACAAGTGAAACCTGCAATGAAGGTTGATGTTGACGATGAGGTCTTAGATGAGGGATTCATAACACTACCGAAAAATGTGCCTGAAATAAAGAAAACAGGTATGTTTGAAGAGAGGTCAAATTTTCATTTAAAGATCAACTTGACAAGAATGAATTTTGTTTGATATGAGTCGAAGAAATGGGCATGAATCCTTAAAAATCGGTCATTATGCTACATTAGTACTCGCAATGATTCTAAGGAAGCTGATGAACTGAGAGCATCCGGAGTCGATTATTCAACGGTAATGATTTCATTTCAGGAGAACCTTCGAGTATCGTGCAGAAGTGGAAGGAGGAGGTTCATGAAAACGTTGTTCCATCCACTTCGAATATAACACTGGAAGAAATACCGATTTCGAAGCGGACTGTGCTACCCTCTTTGCGTAAAAAATCAGGTCTTGATTTTGACCTTATGATACTTTTCTTCTTCAGGAAAACGATCGCAAACGTTTTGTGGCATTATAAAGCAATCTGAATCGTTAGAATGAGCATCATGACCTGAACACTTTGATCAACTGCAATCTATAAAACGTTTCATGTTTTTAGAATGTCCGCCTGCGCGGATTTGCAAACGTGGCTGTGGAATTTCAATTGATGAAAACGGTTGTCAAAGTTGTCAGTGCATCTGGAAATCATCATGTGAGTTAATACTGCCCTCATAAATTTGATTCTTCAATTTGTTAGCGAAGACATGCATTTAGGAAATGTTGCTTTTACACTAGGAAAATCCTCACTCTTGACAAACTGTTCTGTGACCGATTCTGATTGATTCCAATAAAAATGATCCGGAACTGAACTGTTCATCATCATACAATTGTAGAAATATTCCCAACGCAATTATTCTTTTCTATCTTTTTGTAAGAATTGATCAATGACAGCATCATGATCGGCACTACTAAAGTTGTTCAACTGATGAAATGTTTATGAATATTTCAGCATGCAGCAATGAAGAGCCATGCATCGATCCGAAGCAGATCTGTGATTTTGGGAGATGTCAATGTAAGTTTGGATACATTCAAGATATGACAAGACCTGGCGAGTGTAAAGCAGATCCATCGTTCCCAGGTTTGAACTACCTTGACGATATTGCGATAAGTAGAGCCATCTTGAACAGACTGCTCCCTAAAATCACTTGAACTGCAAACGTGCTTAGAAATGCTATTGGATCGGTCTTTCGCGTAAATTCGCTTAGAACAAAATTCAGAGTGTTTGGTCAACTTGGAACATTCATCAGTTTCAGCCGTCTAATGTGATCAATACTTGACAGATCAATTTTTCGTCTTAAGCTGGATCCCCTCAATCTCAGATACTGTTTTCGTGAAGCAGCACAAATACTGCTTTCAACTTCTTCACAGTTAACGAGCGATTTTTCAGAATACAGTGTTGTTTTGACTGATAAAAACGTTCGCGATGGTCAGGTCAATAGCCGCAGAATGTCACAAGCATCGTCTCAAATAGAAGATACCAAGAAAATCACGTTACCAGTTGACGATATACGCAAGAAACGTGAATCCGGAGTCCACACGTTAACAAAACGAACACGAGGAGAAAGGCTATAGTGGCTTGTTAGAATATGATTACCGTTGTTCTCATTGATCTGATGAACGTATCTCTGTGCATTATTGAACAGCGCGGGGGAATGTTCATGCTAGCAAATGCTCATCAAGCATGAAACTACCTCATTTTTCTTCCCTATTGACAATTCTCCTTATTTAAAATAAGAGTTACATGAGCACCTGCGTTTCTATAGCTTGAAATCGCTGTGTATAGGAAATTGCCTGAATTCGATGTGCTGAAACGCGTGAATCATTCCGGTGCTCTTCTAAATTGTTCGTCACATTGTGCTTGTCTTCAGGTTTTTCCGGTTTTCCTACTTCCCACTCATACCTCACTGTTGCGGATGTTGTTTCGGTGTTCTCGGATTTATAATAATCTTTTGATTTTGTAAACTTCCGTTAATTTGTTTCACATTCCATTGCGTTCCAGTGTAGTGTTGAATATTTTGTTTGATCATCTGATCCGTTTAAATATTCATTTTATTCGTTTTTTGTTATTAGTTGGGTTCTGTCAATAAATTTGTTCACCCCTACTCTAACTATCAACTACAAAAATGTCACCACTTTACATAACACTTCAAAATAATCATCAATATCATCAGCTCCCGTGCATTCACTGAAATCATTCTCACAAACCATGATTACATCAAGATTTAAAAGAGAAATAACTCTATGAACATGATCAGAAATAACTGTATGAACATGCATAATGTAGTCAATCTTCGCATAAAAATTATACCTTAATCTGTCTGAACATAGAAAAGAAATTCTATCGGAACAACATATGCTCAGGTGACCCATTCACTTTCGAAACATATCACTTCTCGTCAGCCTTGTGATAGTCCTTGCTATCCATAGCGTAGAGAGTGGCCTCTAGTTTCAGGAACGCACTTACGCTTCCATTCGATATTTTTCACTTAAATTTTTGCCTACAACTAGGTTTTCTTAGGGATTCATCAGAGATTTAGATGCATATAAAAGTAAATAAGTGGTTACTGGCGAAAACATATGTAAACCCATGCTCGGCATTGGTGGCTCTCATAATCAGTCTTGAATAAAGCAGCAAATTCTCAAAGACATTAATAAGTATTACGGTGAATGCACTGAATATGATGATCACTATTTTATGTCTCCAGCAAAATATGAAATCAACACCAAAAAGTTTATGGCACCAAAAAGATTACCTTGAATAGGTTAAGCCGAATTGATCCAGTATTCGTTGGGCATCACCTACTGCTATGAATCGAATGAGCTAGTTTGTTACATGCTAACTGTGTTTCATAGTTTGATAACTTGAACAAGGCAACTATGATCTGCACACAATAAAATGTATCTGGAAACATGTTTTTTATTTGAAAAAAAAAAGATTTGTAATCGCTCTTCATAAAAGTAATGTTGGTAGTTTGTTGTGTGTGTGTGCTGTGGCAGCTCCCCGTCCAGAATCGATTAATTGAAACGCCTCAGACAACCGTCGTCACAGACGATGGCGGATTGGACTATGCGCTTACCTATGTCACCGTTTCAGAAAGGTTTGCATTTTGTTAACGTTGTTCCGTAAGATTTCTGCCAGCCTCATCATGAAATGTTTACCAATCTTTGTATCAAAGAATTTCTAGATTCAAATTGCCCAATGAATTTGAACAATACTGCGGAAGAATCGTAGTAGAACAAGAATAAAACATGATCTGAGCTAGATGCTTTGATTCAGGTTGATGACAAATGAGTAAATTGTAAATGTTAGTAATGAGAAGTACGCAACAAAGTGAGTGATATATTTTTGCTTTCAGATTTATCGACGTCGAATTTTCTTGCCTCACTATGCAGCCCACTGTCATCCAGCCTGAGTAGCTCTGAATCATGTTCCAGCATATCTTCCGAATCGTCCGCTTCTTCCAATTCCTTGGTTTGTGATCACTTCACATTGTTGCCCACTACTGATGCACTTATCTAACTCGTGAATATCTCCAACAAATCATTACATCAGTTTTCATGTGCACGATTTTGTTTGAAGGTGACTGAAATGAAATTGCTTCCCATCGCTATCAGATAACATTCGATTTCAGACACCATCAGTTCAGTTTGTTGCCAGTAAACAGTGTCAAGCGTTGATTCTGAGTCCAGTTCGAGTCGCTAACTTTTTCGCCACTCGAAAACGACTTTACAAGTAATAAATTTCCTTTCAAATGCTTTAAATACCTAAATTTCTGTTACAATTCATGCAAAAATCGAGATCATCCTCATGAGTTATCAATATCTACAACTATGTGCAATTCAAATTATCCACATTGAATCGGAAGAATGATAGCCGGATTTTAGGAAGGATGTTCGGCGACAGCTCGCCAGTGAAGGAGCAGCAGCAGCCTCAAACGACGGTCAAGATATTAATAACAATAGCAATATATCATTAGGTGAGGTTTGATGTTTGATCTTCGACTGCTCATTAATGAATCCTTGAATGGCTTCATGTCCAGCATTCAGTTTCATTGAAAACCGTTTAAGACAACCGCTGAGAACGTAATTACATTGTTCACGTCATTAAGAAAGGAATCTTAAATTAATTTTTCAATTAAATGTCGAATTTCCAATTTAACAATTCATCTTCATTCAAACAGTATCATAATACTTTTGGAGTGCGATTCATGTGATGAAGATGAGATTTCTAGCCATGTTTTTATTGAGACTCAGATATCCTTTCTAGTCAGTAACGTTCATCTGAACGAGATTAAAACTCGGAAATTCTTCGCGTTCTGCAGGTGAAGGTGGTTTCGGTGCAGTGTTCCGTAGTTCGTACAACAATCACGATGTGGCCATCAAACAACTCTATCAGAAACGACATTCACCATCGTCCGACTTCGTTTCGCTTTGTGCTGAACTGAACGCTTTTCGACTACCACCATCACCTTATGTTGTGCCGATTCTTTCATTCACATCATCCGGTACTTCCATTCAGGCGAGTTTTTCGTAACGATAGTTGTGAAAAGCATCATCTAGAGAAACTATCTCATTTGCAGATTGTCAACGAACTTGTTCATGGTCGTGATCTGAAGAAGATGATCGACGATGACGAGTGCATT